GCACGTCCTGTGGGCCCCCGCCGTGGCTGTCATCCTGCTGGCTTCAGGCACACTTGTGCCCCAGAGCGTGGGCAAAAGGCAACCCCGGCTGAGCCTTGCCCCCCTGTTTGGAAGTCGAGGTCTGCAGTGAGGGTGTCGGGAAGAGGCCGTTGTGCGGCTGGAGCTGGCTGGGAGCTCTGCTGACCAGCAGGTCCTCGGCCAGACAGCACGTCGGGCAGCTGGTGCACTGGATGTCCCCTCAGGGAACTGCCTGCCCGTGGTTGTCCTGGGCTCAATGGCTGCGTGAGAAGCCCATTTCTCTTTTTCCTGAGAGCCAGCCACGTTTGCCTCACCCAGCCCTGCCTGCTGGGGCCATCCATCCATCCTTCTCTGGTGGGAGATGCTCTGGCTGGAGCCTCCTGCCCGCTGGTGTCTTCCATCCTTCTCTGGTGGGAGATTCTTTGCCACCATGAAGGGAAGGACACGATGCAGGAGCTTCATTGTAGGGTTGCAGCCACCCAGGCAGATATTCAGCCTTTGGCAAGTGTGCTGGCTGGTGGAGAGCACAGTTGTGTCCCTTTTGAGTTGGAGGCCATCATTGTCCCCAAGAGTGTGACCAGCTGGCCCAGAGCCTTCCCTGCCATGGGCTGCTCAGAGACAGGGGAGAAGGAAGCTGGGATGGGATGTTTGCCAGGTTTGCCGGGCAGCTTGGCTCAGCAGCAGCAATCCCTGGCGTGCTGCTGGCCCCGTTCCCTCTGTACCCCACACATCTGGAGCAGGTGCTGGAGGGCTGTCACCACTCCCACGCCTCGGCACCGGCTCTGGCACTCGCATCTCCCCAGAGGGGCTCTGTGGCTTCTTTCCTGCTCCTGGACACCCCTGGCTAGATGTAATCATGAGGCCCTGACATCCCCACAGCTGCCAAGGGCTGCTGGAGGAGGAGAAGGATGAGGAGGAGGAAGAGGAGAAGGAGGAGGAGGCAGGGGCTGTGATGCTGCTCTGCAGTTGCCAGAATGCACATTTTCACACTCCTGTGAGATGGAAGTAGGGTGAGGAGCTTAGGGGGATCTCATGGGCTTGTCACCTTCGTCGTCGTCACCGTCTGCCCTGAAGAGCTTTTAAGGAAGCTGAGGGCAGGAAGATCCTTGGCGCTGGTAAAATCATGCTTTTAAAATGAATGGTGAGCTGTGGCTTATTCCCACTGGGTTTCCAGCTGGGCTTCCAGGCAACAACTTATGCAGGTAGACATGGTCAGGATGTCCTTAGAAATGGTGGTGAGATAACCCTGACACTGGCAAGCCTCCTTCTCCTTGCCTTGGCTTGGTGTCTGCTGTGTTCAAATTATACATATGGGAGAATAAGAAAAGGGATCCCCTATAAAACCAGACAAGGCTGGGACTTGGGGAGGGAGCTCAGGGGAGACAGGGAGCAGCCCCCTCTCACCGAGGGACCTTTGGGTGCGGGGCAGCCCCAGCCCTGCACACACCCCCCAGTTGTGTCCCCAAAGTGCTGCCGAGGACCCTTCCCACTCCTTTTGCTTTTGGGCCACTTATTTTCAGAGGTGGCTTTGTTTTCTCTCCCTGAAAGGCAGGCTTTTGGGCTGCATCTTCTTCTGGGCAGGGACCCAGGCTGGATTTGGCCCTGGAAAGCATGACGAGGCTTTGAGGTGGGGTTTGAATCGGGTGCCCCAGCTTCTCTCCTCGGATAGGTTCTGGCCCCTCTCTTAGGGTTTGGTTGCAGCTCCAGCTGTGGGAATCTGTGAGGGGGATCTAGTGGTGGCACCTTCAGAGGGATTTCGTGGGTCAGATCCTGCTGCTGGTGAGACACCCGGGTTGACTTTCAGATTTGGCTCAGGAAAGCCATGGCATTTCCCAGCATGGGGAAGCTTCCCTCCACCCAGGCAGCCCCCGGGTGGAAGAACAAGCCCAAGTCCCCGTTGTCACGCTGAGCTCGCCCCTCTTGCAGGCGGGAGGTGGTACAAGCGGCACCTGACCTACCGGGTGGTGAACTGGCCCTCCTACCTGCCCCAGCACGAGGTGCGCCTGGCCGTCAAAGCCGCCTTCGAGCTCTGGAGCAACGTGTCCTCCCTGGTGTTTTGGGAAGCACGGGACGGCCCGGCCGACATCCGCCTGACCTTCTTCCACGGGGACCACAATGATGGACTCAACAACGCCTTCGATGGGCCAGGTGCTGGTCGCTTCCCCCTCGTAAGCTTCTCTTTTACAACGTGGGCTCTTCCCCAACAGGGAGGTGGGCTGGGAGTGATGGAGGCGAGGCTTTGCTCCAGCTGTCCCTCTAACCTAGGTTGCACCAGTTTACTTTCTGGTTTGGGGTCCTCACTCCTAACTCTGCAACTGAGGTCTGCCAGCGACCTCATTATGGGGTCATGATGATGGTTTTGAAGGAGCCCTTCTGACTCTGATGGCATCCTGAGCTCATTCCTTCCACCTGAGCCTTACCCACTCTCAGATGAGCCTGGGTTTTCTCTCTTCTTGAGCCTTTGCCCAGTGCGGGTCACTGCGGTGGCTTTAGTCCCTGGCCTGAGCCCAGCAAGAAGTCCCACAGCATAAACCACAGAGCTGTGCTCAGGAGCAGCAGGTGGAACTGGTTTGGGTTGCACCTGCTGCAGCAAATAGTTGTGGGAAGCTGCTGTTCTTCCTCAGGAGGCCTCCCAAAGAGCTAAAACTGATGCATTTTTAAGCATGGGCTTGTGGCTGCCGTCCTCATCTGCCCTGTGGCCCCTGATGGCTCTCGTGTCCCCAGGAGGAGCCCTGGCTCACGCCTTCTTCCCCCGGCGTGGAGAAGCCCACTTCGACAGCGCCGAGCGCTGGTCCCTGCACAGCGGCAAAGGGCGCAACCTCTTCGTGGTGGTGGCCCACGAGGTCGGTCACACGCTGGGGCTGGAGCACTCCGCCGTCAAGAGCGCCCTGATGTCTCCCTACTACAAGAAGCTCAGCAAGGATTTTGTCCTCAGCTGGGATGACATCTTGGCTGTCCAGAACTTGTACGGTGAGCCTGGCTTCCCCGAGCATCCCTCGGTTCCTCCGAGGCTGTTCCCTGGGATGGAGAGCAGGAGCAGAGATGGGTCCCTGCAAGGGGAGAGGACTATGTGTGAGGGGCTCAGTGGGGATGGGCACCAGCACTTTGCTGTTGGGCAGGAGGATGCGGTCGAGCACATGGGACGGGTACCAGGTCCTCGAGGGCAGGGAAGGTTGGACTTGATGCCCTCTCGTTTGCAACGAGGGAAACTCTGGTGCATGTTTTTTGGGTGTACCAAGGGGTCTTTTCCAGCACTGTATAGAGGGGGACAGGAACCAGACAGTGGGACGAGGAGTATTTGGAGCTCTGGGACAGCTCTGCAGAGCCGTGCTCCCTCCATGCTCTGGGTGAAGCTGTTACCCTGCCCCTTCTCCACGACTCACCACTCCCTGCTCCATCCCAGGGAAGCCCTCCAAAGGCCTGGCTATCCAGCTCCCAGGGAAGGTCTTCACTCACTTCCAGGACTGGAACGCAGACCTTTACGGTGGGGACCAGCAGCAGAGGAGCCTCAGCACCTATTACTGCCACTCCTTCTTCGATGCCATCACTGCTGGTGGGTGCTGGTTGGTGCAGCCCTCTCCCAAAATGTGCACCCACCGCCTCTCGTCCTGCTGCTGCGGCAGGC